GGCCCAAGAGACCCCCAAGGGGTTCCAAGAGGGCCCCGAGTCGCCGAAAAATCGCTCCAAGACGCCCGAGATGGCCTCCAGACGGCCCAAGGTGTCTCCAAGACGCCCCAAGAAGCTTCCAAGAGGCCTCCCAAGAGGGCCCCAAGAGGCCAGAATCGTTGATTTTCATTGGTTTTCTCAGGGTTTTTAGCGTTCTTGCCTTTTCGGGCGTCCGACGCTCGAAGACGGCCCAAGAGGCCCCCAAGTCCGTCCCAAGACGGCCCACGATGCTTCCAACACGGCCCAAGAGAGCCCCAAGACGGCCCAAGAGGGCCCCAAGACGGCCCAAGAGGGCCTCTGGACAGCCCAAGAAGGCCCCAAGAGAGCCCCAAGAGGGGCCCAAGAGGGGGACCACGAACCGAAAGAACCGAGCTTTCCGCCCCAAGAGGCCCCCAGGAGGCCCCAAGAGACCCCCAAGGGGCCCCAAGAAGCCCACAAGAGGCCCAAAAGAGGTTCCAAGAGGCCCCAAAACAGCTCCCCAGAGGCCTCCAGACTGCCTCCGGCAGGCCCCCGGTTTCTTCCGCGGCACCGCCCAGGGCGCCACCGGCAGGATGTCCTCCGTCTCATCGTTTTCCTTCAAGTTATCGCCTCTTCCTCATTCTCCTCCTCCTCCTCTGCGACCTCACTCCTATCCCTCAACGATCGCGTCACCGAGTGCCTCTTCTTTGAAACATCCTCGCTCTTCAAACGCACATCCATACACACATGCATACATACCTACATTTAAACACATTTGCATACATAGAAAAACAATCTTCCAGACATACATACTTACATTCACACACATACACACATATTATCATACACACATACAAACATACATACAAACTAAATACATACATACGCGCACAAGCATACATACATACATACGTACCTACACACAGGCACACATGATCAATGCATGCATACATGCATGCACGCGTACATACACACACATATATCGTGAAACTCACCGCGTGCTCGAAACTTGAGAGAGACCGCGGGAAGTCGAGAGAAGCCGCGGAACGAGGCCTCTACTACTACTACCACTACTACCACAACCACTACTACTACTACTACTACCACTACTACTACTACTACTACTACTACTGCTACTACTACTACTACTACTACTACTAATAATACTACTACTAGTACTACAGGAGCGTTTCCCAACTAGTATGTGTGTGTGGGTGATGCTGTGTGCGCATGTCTGCGGCGCAGGTTAAGTGGTGTGACTGTGTGTGTGCGTTTGAGTGTGCGCCCATAATTTCTGCGTCTGGAGAATAACCCCGAGCGACCCGGATCGGCGGCACTGGCCGAAGGCCACTACAATATTATTATTACTCTTATTATTAATATTATTATTATTAGTATTATTATTATTACTATTATTATTAATAGTACTAGTATTATTATTAGTAGTATTACTAGTATTATCATTATTATTATTAATAGTATTATTATTATTAGTATTAGTATTATTAGTATTAGTATTAGTATTAGTAGTAGTAGTAGTAGTAGTAGTAGTAGTAGTATGATTATTGTTATTATTATTCGTCTTATTACTATTATAAGTAGTATTAGTATTCTTTTATTATTATCATTATTATTATCATTATTATTATTGGTATTATTATTAATAGTATTACTATTATTATTACTATTATTATTATGATTATTATGATTATTATTATTCCTCCTCCTCGTTCTCCTTCCCCTCCTCCTCCTCCTCCTCCTCCTCCTCCTCCTCCTCCTCCTCCTCCTCCCTACCGCGCGGACAAAGACGAGGTCGGGATCACGACCCGTCCCAATCACAGCTTCCGCGTGCGACCCACGTCCGACATGTCACATGTGACGGCTTCCGCGTGCGACCCACGCCTGACATGACACATGTGACTGCTTCCGCGTGTGACTAGCGCCCGACATGTCCAACGTGACAACTTCCGCGTGTGACCAACATCAGACATGTCACATATGACGGCTTCCGCGCGTGATCCACGCCCGACATGTCACACGTGACAGCTTCCGCGTCTGACCCACGCACGACATGTCATATCATGCGGCTTCCCCGTGTGACCCTGTTCGCCGGAATTGCGCTGGTCCTATACTCGGTCTCCTTCCTGGAGCGCTGTTGCACGGACACGGTGACGGGGTTTGCCGCAGGCAAGGTGGATACATATAAACAAACCTACATGTGTACGTATGTGTATATATATATATATACCCGAACTACGCGCGCACGCGCTTCGCGCACTTAGGTTCTCGCAGCAAGAACAAAAAGGAAGGAGCCGTGGAGATGAGAGGTAGCGAGGGGAGCGGCAGGGGGTGGCGAGCCCGAATCGTCGAACTCCCACGGCGAGCACGGCGCAATGCGAGCGTGCCCGTCCACATTGGGTGGCTCCGGGAAGCTCTGGTGGAGGCGTCTTGGCGGCCTCGTGGGCGGTTTGGGAGCGAAAAGGCTGCCTTGGCGGAGGTTCGTGGAGGCCCTTGAAAGGGTCCTGGTGGCTTTTTGGGGGGCGCCATGTGCTCCTGTAGCTCTCGCGGCAATCCCGTGGGAACCTCGTGGGGCCCACAGAACACATCGTAACACAAAGCAACGCGAAGCACAGCCAGGAGGGACAGGTAGCAACGCGACTGGGAAGCATGTCGGGGCTTTGGATGGCTGTTCTGTTTCTTGCGGGGTCTCTCAAAAGTGTGTTTGGAGCCGCTTGGAGAGCTTTGGGGGGTCTCTGGGGGCCTCGCAGGAACGTCCTGTACGCCACCCAGAGGGTCTTGGGGCATGTTGGTAGCCACACGCCCCAATGAGTGCCCCGCGACCCTTCTTGGTACACTCTTGGGCCCTCTTGGGGCTCCCTTGAGGCCCTCTTGGGCCTCTCTTGGGCTGTCTTGGGCGTTCCTTGAACTGACTTTGGGCCCTCTTAGCCGCCTTGGGGCCCCTTGGGCCGTCGTGGACGCTGTTGAAACACAAAACCAACAAACCAACAAACAAACAAACAAACAACAAACAAACAAATAAAAAACGAGTCTACAAAAAATGCATACTCTTCTAAAAGTTCTGGGACGACTGTGGCCTCCCAGGGCGCTTTGGGGGAGCTTCTTGGAGCCCGCTTGGGGCGTCCTGGGGGCCTCCTTCTTGGCCCGTCTCGAGACTGCCTGGAGGCGGCACAGAGCGCTTTCAGTGAGAAGGCGAAAACCCACCCCCACCCCCAGTCCCGACCCCACCCCCGAATCCGCGATCCAGGGGGTCGGGACTGGCGGTGGGGGTGGTTTTCCCGTGTCCAGAAAAGGAGAAAACGCCCCCCCACCCTCAGTCCGGCTCGGGGATGGGCGTCGGCTCGGGGATGGGCGTCGGGACTGGGGGCGGGAGTGTGCTCTCGCATTCCGATTCAGGGTCCTCTCGGGGCTTCCTGGCGGCCTCTTGGGCTGCCTGTGGGCGCGCTCGGAGCGCCCTCGGGCTGCGTCGAAGCCTCGGGATCTCCCTGTGGAGGCGCCCGCGGGGGGGGAGGGGCCGCCCTGTAAAAGGGAGGTCGCGGCCTGCTGCCCCAGGCCCGGGATCTCCCTCTTCTGTTTGCACATACATACATGCATGCATGCATGCATACATACATGCATATACACAGACATACATACATACATACATACATACATACATACATACATACATGCATGCATGCATGCATGCATGCATACCTACCTACCTACCTACCTACCTACCTACATACAGACATACATACATATATCTACCTACCTACCTACCTACCTACCTACCTACCTACCTGCCTGCCTGCCTGCCTACCTACCTACCTACCTACCTATATATATATATATATATATATATATGCATGCATGCATGCATATGCATGCATGCATGCATGCATACATACATACATACATGTAGACATGCATGCATGCACACATACATACATACAGACAGAGAGACAGAGAGACAAACAGGCAGGCAGGCAGGCAGGCAGGCAGGCAGACAGACATGCATGTACGCATTCATATACATTCATACACACATATGCATACATACGTGCATGCATGCATGCATGTACACATCCATCCATACATACATGCATACTTACTCACATACATACAAAACAACGTACATACATGTATACACGCATGCATGTATGCGGACATGCGCACAGACATACATGTATGCATACCCATTTACATAAATATAAATGTACATAAATAGATACGTAAATGCATGCAGACCTGCATACATGTATACATGTACACATACATACCTACACACCTACATACAGGTATACACGTATACATAAACATGTTCAAACATATAGATATATATATATATATATATATATATATATACGCATACAGCTGTATAAACATATACGTATAAGTATACAGCTGTGTATGCCCATACGTATACATATATAAACACACCGACCTATACGTACATGCAAACATACGTGTATGCATGCATTCATGCATGCATACATACATGCATGCATATATGCATGCATACATACATGCATGCGTGCATACAAACATACATACATACATAAATGCAGGCATGCGGGCATGCATTCATACATACATACATACATACACGCGTATATACACATACATACATACATACATACATACATACATACATACATGCATGCAGGCAGGCAGGCAGGCAGACAGGCAGGCAGGCAGGCAGGCAGGCAGGCATGCATGCATACATACATACATACATATACATACACACTTGCATGTATACCTACATACCCACATACAGACATGCAAACAGACAGACAGACAGACAGACAGACAGACAGACAGACAGGCAGGCAGGCAGGCAGACAGACACACACACACACACATACAGATACGCATAAATTGAAACCACATAGTTTACATGTACATGTATGTGCACAAGCGTAGACATGTACAGCAGCGACCGCAGGGCGGCGGGCCGAGACAACAGCCACACTCACACCGCCCGCCCGCGGGAGGGACGCCTTGTAGTGCCTGGCGTGCTTCGCAGCAAAGAACCTCTGCACCTGGCGCGTGCTTTGCTGGGCGAATGCCGCACGGGGGGGCCCTCCCACGCCTAAATCGAATGAATCCAGAGTTCGATCGACCCCAGGAGTGAGCCACGGCAGTGCTGGTGCATGAATTCCCTAGGTTACACGGCTGCCACGATTTGTCTTCGACGCTGGCCCTGTGCTCACGGTGATCCAAAGAGGAGTTGCCTGCCCAACTGTGGAGGGCAGCCTCCAGATGGCTGGCAACGGCCTAGGGGCCAGGGCTAGACATGTAGTCGCTCCGCCATCTCTTGAGGAGACTAGAGGGCGCAAGGAGAGCATTCAGAGAGAGGAGCGGCACTGGGGTGCGCGGCCAGCGGGGGGGGGCAATGGCCGCGCGACAAGATAGCGAGCCTTTGGTGCCCGCGTCGGCTCCTTCGACCGAAAATTGCCAGCGCTGCGAGTTGCCGGCGCCAGAAACGCTGGCCACTTGGTGCCTCCACTGCCTGGCAAGCACTGTTTGCCGAGGGTTGACCGTGTGGTCCGAGTGGTTCGACACGTCAGCTGCTGCGGTGGAGCAGGACCAGGACGGAGATCGTGTCTGTGGCTCCGTGGGCCCATCCTTCACGACGTGAGCCGCAAGACATTCAGCGGCAGGATCGCGCGCTCGACAGCCCAGAGTCGCAGCCAGTGCTGGCGGCGCACTCCAACCTCCAGGAAGGTCTTCGACCAATGGTGCACTTCGTTGTTGGGGACGGCTCCAGACGCCGTTTTCGTCGGAGCCGCCCCTTCGCAGGAGCGTGTGGGCGTGGCTGGAGGCGGGGCTCCAGGGTCCACCGCCGCGGAGGCGCTAGCTCGCCCCTTCCAGGCGCCACAGTCCAGCAACAGGGCCGAGCTGGCAGCCTCAATGGACGTCATCTCGTCGATCCCCGATGGCGAGATCTGTTACGTGTGTGGCAGCTCCTGCGTGGTACGGGGCTGGCAGCGGCTCGCCTGCAGACTGAAGCGCCGCAGTAATACGGAGCTGTGGCAGACGCTTCGCCTAGCAGTCAGCAGCCGCCCGGAAGCAAGCAAGCAAGCAAGCCAGGAAGCAAACAAAAGCCATGAATCTGGAAGGACGCGTCCGCAGACTCGAAGCTGCGATGATGGCAACCAAAGTGGAACGATTAAGGCATATATCGAAAAAACATGGGAGGAGGAGGAGGAGGAGGAGGAGGAGGAGGAGGAGGAGGAGGAGGGGAGACGACATCAGAGAGCACAAGGTGGTGGAGAGCCACTGCAGCGAGGAGCGGGCTGCAGCTCGATGAACGCCAGAGGCACAGAGGTTTGCCAACATGGACGCCGACCGCCGAGCTGCCTTCGAGGCCGCCCAGTGCCAGATCGATGCTGACCTGGCCCTAGCTGTGAAAGTGGCGGAAGACGCTGCAGCCAAGGTGCGAGAGTGAGTCATCAGCCGCGCGTCACTGTGCGGAGACTGGCCAGCGGGGCCGCAGGCAGCGCAAGACGCAGGACACCGGCGCGCAGAGGGCGTGCAGGACATCGACACAAAGAGTGCGAGGGTGCGCCCATGCCGTGACGACCCCTGGCGTTGGCTTCTGACACCGCATGGATCGTTCAACCTTGATTGGCGGCGCGCACCATGGGGCAGGGGGAGGGGGGAAGGCTACTTAGAAGGACTTAGAAGGCGCCGGCCTCACATCTACAGACGAGGCCCGACTGCTCTAAGGAGCAGGGGTGCTTCTAAGAAGCCTCCCCCCCTCCCCCATACCCCCCTTCTGCGCGTGGCCGACTTTCCCCAGGGCCAGATGTCCTCCCGCATCGTCTCTTGAAGGTCCGAGGTCCCTGCGAAGGCCCCCGGAGGTCGAAAACAGCCGAATGCCCTCCCGTCGTGAACGTGTCGCCACGCGAGCACGTCTGCGTCTGGCGCGAGGCGCATGCGGCCGGTCCTTCTTGGCGGCGCGCACAGGAGTGCAGGGGGAGAAGGGAAGGCTTCTAAGAAGCCTTCCCCCCTGCCCCCTACCCCCCCCTGAGCAACCAAAAAAGGACCCCTAACCCTTTGGGAGGGGACCTAAGTTAGGCGGGCAAAAAAGAGTAGTGGCCGATCTTCTCTCTGCGCCTCCGGGCGACAGAGGCGGCCGTGCACATGCAGCTGATTTCGTAACCCTCCCCCTTCTCCCCATTCCCCCCCCCTGAGACGAAGCCAGGACGAGGACAAAATCGGGTGGGGACAAATAGGGAATCTCTGAGACCCAGCGGTTCGGAAGGCTGTTTCGAGCGCTGCTGCCTTCTTAGAGCATTCCGGAACGCTCTGGAAAAGATTTATCCTCGTTCTAGCCCCGCCCAAGTAACCAAGGAAGGCCGACCTCGTCCATCGGGTTCCGGTAGTGCTGCTCCACCAGGTCCTGGGGAAATCAAAAAAGGCACCGATCCCGCTACTCCACGGACCTCTCGCGGGGCGCGTTCTGACCAGGATTTCCAAGTGAATCCAGCGGTGGTGACGAGGGCCTTCTAGCGAGGGAAGGGTAGCGGTGCGGGTACCTCTGCCATCCCTGAGGTCCTCCGTGGGCCACCCCATGGCCACGAGGTTGAACGTGATGTAGCTCAGGTCCTGCGGCCAGAGCGCACACGCAGCCCGCGGGAGAGAGGGGGCCCAGCCTGCGCGGGTCGGGCACACCGAGGCCGCTGGCGCCGAGGATCGAGGAGCAGGGAGGGAAGAAGTCGAGGCCTGGCCAGATCAGCCCTCCTCGACGGGGAAAGCCCTGCTCCACAGGCCGCAATAAGAGGGAGGGGGCCACAGCCCTCCCAGACGAGCAGCTTCAGACCACCCGAAAGGGCGGCCTTTCTCTTGCCCAGACCCCCGCGGAACCCTCCAAGGCAGCTCCAATCGGACCCCTCCAAAAAAACAGACCACCCCCCTGGCATTGCAAAATCCAGAGTAGCCAAAACAACAGGGAGCTCCAGGCTTTCTGGTGTGGCCAGGGCCCATGTCCCTACCGGGGGGAGGAGGCGAGGGAGGCTGCCGGGTAGGCAGGACCAAAGACCGGCGACCAAGGGGGGGCCGATGCAGGGACAAAAGCTGCATCCACGTGAACTGCCGGGCGCCCGCGCGGACTCTGTCGGTCCGCGATGACCCCCGCCCCATGGCAGGCGGAGCGCGCAGCGGGCGGCGCTGGAGGTGCCGCCAGAGGGGGTCCAGTGCCCATCCGAGGTTGTCTGCGCGGACCTTCGAAAGTGGATGCGCGTGCCGTTTTTGTTTTCCTGGCTCGAGTCGAAGATCGAGGGAGACCGAGGATCGAGGGCGAGGGGGAGAGCCTGCAGGACCCCGGGAGGCCCCCCTCCGAAGGATCCGAGGCAGGCCCCTCCCCCTCCCCATCCCCCATCCCCCTCCCCACTCCCCCTCACCCTCCTCCTCCTCCTCCTCCTCCTCCTCCTCCTCCTCCTCCTCCTCCTCCTCCTCCTCCTCCTCCTCCACGCCTCCCCCAGGATCCCCCCCGCAGACCTCCCCGAGGGGCCAGGCGCAGACCTCTGGCAAAGAGACTCCGAGCTCTGGCGGCGCGCGCCAGGGCGTAGGGGGGGCGAAGAAGGAGGCTGCTTCAGAGAAGACGCAGGCCCTACATCTACAGACGAGGCCCGCGCATTCTAAGACGCAGGGGTGCTTTCAAGAAGACTTCCCCCCAGACCGGCGCCTTCTAAGGAGCAGGGGTACTTCTAAGAAGCCTTCCCCCCTCCCCCATACCCCCCTTCTGCGCGTGGCCGACTTTCCCCAGGGCCAGATGTCCTCCCGCATCGTCTCTGGAAGGTCCGAGGGCCATGCGAAGGCCCCCCGGAGGTCGAAAACAGCCGAATGCCCTCCCGTCGTGACCGTGTCGCCACGCGAGCACGTCTGGGTCCGGCGCGGGGCGCCACCCGGCTCGAGGCCACCCCAGGGAGCTTGGCCCGAACCGCACTGAGGAACTCGAGACAGCAGATGTCTGGGAAGTGGTTCTTCTGACTCTTGGGCGTCTGTCGGGTGTGCGCCAGCCAGCAAAGGGGCCAACACAAGGAGGGAATCGGGGGCTGCGGGAGGAAAGGCCTCTGGCCCAAAAAGGGCGCCCCCTGAAATTGCCGCCGCGCCCCCCCCCCCCCGGAAAGGCGAGCCCCTCTTCGCCACCCTCCCCCCCCCGCTGCCGCCCGCACGCCCGAGCCTTGGGTCCCGAGACGATGAGGTGAGAGACTGCGCGGTGACCTCGGGCCCCAAGGACCTCACCGCACAGCCCGACACCACACCGCTTTGGGACCCTGGAGGCCCCGGTCGCCCCAGACGTCCACTGAGGACGACCCCAGTCCCAAAACCGCGCGACCACCCCGACTCCCCACTGACTTATCGCTCAGCGTGGTCACCACGCCGCTTGGTCGGACGATGGCAAGACTGGGTTAGCATGACCTGGTTTAGTGATGTGCACCGGGGGGGGCGCCCCCTCGCCCCTTTCCACTGATCGAAACTGCCGCCACCCAGAAAATCACCAGCTACGGCAGACCTGCTTCGGTGCTTCGTGAGTCTGGCTCATTTGTTGAGCTTCGGGGTCCAATCATTCACACACGGAGTCATGGCTAGATCCGACTTGGGCCCCCCGGGTCAATCAGGCTTTGCAGGATCCTGCAAGGCCCCGCCGGATCCTGCAAAACCCTGCACCCAAACCCGGGTCAGTGCACCCCTGGCTCTGCAGGAGCCTGCAACGTCTGGCGCTCTGGCTGACCCCCGTTTGCATTGACCCCCGTCTCAAGGCTCCCGAGCTTCGGGGCCTGATCACTCACCGGCTCCCCTTCTGCTCTCTGCCTGCTGTCTCCGCCTGGCCCCCCTTGCGCCTGCCCGCCCGCCCCGCCGACCCCGGCCTCCCGCCTGCGCGTTCGTCGTCGTCTGCCCGCTTCTCCCCTCCTTGTCCCGTTCTGCCGGGCAGCACAGCCTGCCCGGGACCAGCGTGGCGGCGTGTGTGGCTTCAGCCGACGGCAGACTCATGGCCACGCCATTTCCCCATTCTAGAGGCCTCCTAGTTTGGGTCGGAATAGATGAGGTCGGAGAATCGCGCCAAATCACCAATACATCGGCGACGCACCGGCGATGCATCGTCGACGTCGGCGATGCATCGGCGACGTCGACGTGAAGCAAATCGGGCTCCACATCAAGCCGTATCGGCGATGCATCGGCGATGCGGCGCGATCCTCCGACCCCATCTACTCCGACCCCATCTAGGAGGCCTAGACTTGTGGATGCTACGGCAATGGACACCCTAACAGTCCTATCATTGAAATTAAAGATGTGTTCAAAATGTCGGAAACATGTTCTATACACGTTTTAAACATATACCTTACATGTTTGAAACATGTTTAAGACATGTGTTTGACATCTGGGAAATATTTGGCAACATGCTTCCTCTCCATTGATGGTCCTCCACAAGCCTAGACCTTCGCAGGTTTCACCAGCTCCCCTTGCCCGGGGCCCTGGCTGAATCCGACCGGGGCCCGCCCAAGAGGCCCGGAGGCCTGCGCCAGGCAGGAGCGCTCCCTGGGGGCCCAGGCCTCCAGGGGCCTGCAAGAGGCTCGAGACGCAGTCGAGGCGTCGGCGGTCTGCGAGGACGACGACGACGACAACGAGGACAATGACGACGACGACGACGACGACGAAGAGGACGACGACGACGACGACGACGACGACGACGACGACGACGACGACGACGACGACAAGGACGACGAGGATGACGAGGACGACGAGGACGAGGACGAGGACGAGGATGACGACGACGAGCGTCTTTCGTTCCACGGCGTGCGCCCCCAGAGCCCTCGGCCTTGGGAGGCCTCTCAAAGTGGCTCCGAGCAGATGGGGTCGGAGTATTGCGCCGCACCGCCGATGCACCCGCGATGCGTGGACGACATCGGCGATGCGTCAGCGCCGTCGGCGTGGAGAGCGCCCCATCGCCGATGCATCGGCGACGCGACGCGATCCTCCGACCTTCTCTCCTCGGACACCAGTTGGGAGGCCTCGAAGGTCAGGGTCTCGGGCTGGCTCAAGACCTCTGGACGGGTAACTGACCCTACTACGGCCCCCAGCCGATCTGAGGGCGACAAGATCTGTACATATGCACTGCCCCTGGGCAGGCCTATCCTGGGCCCAGGAGCGGTATCTGCGCCCCCATGGCTTGGCCAGGGAGGCATACACACCGATCGTGGGCCCAGGATGGGCCTGGCCAATGGCGGTGGCTATGTATAGATCTCGTCGCCCGAGAATTTCGTAATCCTTCCAACACGTGAGCCCAGGAGCTCTCCTTCCTCAAAAGCGCAACGAACCATCACACATGTCCCAGGCCTCGCCCTCGATAGAGACCCGAGCTGAGTCTGGCCGTGGAGACAAGGGGCCAGGCCCAGACAGGGCGACGAGCACCACAACCCGCAATTCCTTCTCTCCTCCTCCTCCTCCTACTCCTCCTCCTCCTCCTCCTCCTCCTCATCATCATCATCATCATCATCATCATCATCATCATCATCAACAACATCATCATCAGCAGCAGCATCATTGTCAGCATCATCATCAGCATAATCAGCATCATCATCATCATCATCATCATCATCATCATCATCATCATCATCATCATCATCATCATGATCATCATCATCATCATCATCATCCTGCTCCTCTTCCTCCTTATCCTCATCATCAGCAGCAGCATCAGCAGCATCAACATCAGCATCAGCATCGACATCAGCCTCAACATCAGCCTCCTCATCATCATCATCACCACCATCATCCTCATCAGCATCATCATCATCGTCAGCAGCACCACCACGACCATCACCATCATCATCAGCAGCAGCATCATAATCATCACCATCAGTATCAGCATCATCATCATCATCAGCAGCAGCAGCACATCATCAGCATCATCAGCTGCATAAGCATCATCAGCAGCAGCATCATCATCATAATTAGCATCAGAATGGTCATCATCATAATCGTCATCGTCGGCATCGTCATCGTTATCGTCATCATCATCAGCATCATCAGCATCAGCATCGACATCATTGTCATCATCATCATAATCATTAGCAGCAGCACAAGCACCATCAACATCACCATCATCATCGCCATCACCATCGTTTTTATCGTCATCATCATCAGCAGCATCATCAGTATCAGCATCATCACCACCACCATCATCATCAACGACAGTAGTATCATCATCAGCATCATCAGCAGCAGAATCAGCATCACCATCTGCATCAGCATCATCATCATCAGCAGCATCAGCCTAATCATCATCGTCATCATCATCGTCATCGTCGGCATCGTCATCGTCATCATCAGCATCATCAGCATCATCAGCATCGGCATCGTCATCATTGCCAGAATCACCATCATCATCAGCAGCAACATCGTCATCAGCATCATCAGCATCATTATCAGCATCATCAGCATCATCATCAACAACAGCATCATCAGCACCATCAGCAGCATCATCAGCATCAGCATCATATCCTCATGAGCATCAGCATCATGTTCAGCATCAGCATCACCA